AATTATTTTTAAAATATTTTTTATTAATTAATTTTTGGTCAATCAGAACACAAGAAATCACAAAAGCATCAAATTTCAATATGAAAATTTTGAAAATAGGACAAATGTAGTCTTTAAGTATCATGCACTATATAATTTTTTTTTCCCATTTTTTTTAACTGAAATTTAGATGCTCTTTATACTCACCCAACTAAATTAATGCAAGCGAAATTAAATGGTAAATATTCATGAACTTGAGTAGCTTATTTTTAAGTATAAACGTTCTTTATATATGCCTCCTAAATTAACATGAATAAAATATAATTAAATAGTAAAGATATTTATTAATCAATTAGTATTACTCATATCTGAAGATTTCTGATAATGAATAAGTGTTTGATGTTCATCCTCCTCATCTTCAATAGCAGAATTCTAGGTTTCTATCATTTACTCAAATTGCCATATTCAGTGCTTTTGAATACCATTCAAATACCATCTTTTTATTAGTTATGATTTTCTTTTTATAACAATGTTCAGCGGCATGTATTTGACAATCAAAAGATACTTACGGTTTTCTATTTACTTAATTTTAGATGATATTAGAATATCTTATATTTATTCTCATTAACTCCAATTTCATGCTCGTAATATTCACAACTCGTCTCTGCTGAATTTTAACAATAATCGAATGCTTTATGTTAATTCTTTACAGTTCCAATCATATTACGAGGACAATCATCAACATCAGACATTCCTTCAGAAGGCCTACTAGAATAAACCATTTAAGCAGAACTAAATATTTTAATCTATCATCGGCTATAGATTTATCTTCGTTATCACAAGCACCAAGATTTTTTTCCAATATAAGAATATCTAGGATATGTAAGAGAAAGGATTTGGAAATCAAAGTCAAACTATGAGCAAGTAATTCCAAGTTACTCTTGTTTATTATGGGCTGTCTATAGATCAGTTGCATGTAAACAAGTTGTAGAATTTTTGAACTTTTTACTATGATTTTTGAAAATTGATTACATAAATTATTTTGCTAACACGTTTTTCATCAGGCAAGTGAAACACTGAGTTTAATTTCTTTATGAACTTACAAAAGTAAGAATTGACACAAGGTTGATTGATAAACATTACAAATAAAAAAAAACTTTACAAGAGCTGTAATTGTCATTTTTTGATTTATTGTGCAGATATAAGTTTAATTTTAAAACAAATCAATTTCAGTTTGCATAAGCTACAAGGGTAAGAAGTATACAAATTTTTTATAAAACTAACAATTTTATTAACAAAACTATTCATCATCTGATTTATGTAATATGGTTTCACCCTGCATAATGCCATGACTACACTATAAATAAGATATTAGATTCAAAGTTGATCCCTCTGCAACTTTAAATCGTGCATTATATTTTTTACTCAACTCATTTAATATGATACAAGTACTATATGTAAAATAAATAGATCTTTTTTCTGTAACTTTTTTTGATTTAAAATATTTCCACACCTAGCTTCGTTTTTTTGATTCATCTATACGACCTAATCTCTCTGGCATTTCATTTTCATTTATATCATTTGCATCTTCTAATACCAGACTATCAGGTTGGTCAATAAAGAACTTATTAAATGACTGGACCAGTAGTGATGGTAAACTATTTTCTTCTATAATTTATGAGTTTTGCCTTATCAAAAAAATTAATAAGGCACAAGATTAAATTTATGTTTATAATATTTATTCAAATGAAGATTTAATATTAGGTTAAGCGATGATTTCTGAAATATAGCACAAGTGATGACCACTATTGCGCACTAAAGACTCTTTATATTTTTTTTACATAATAGTGGTTCTTGATATATTATTGATACTTGTTACTAATAGTTTTTTCTATTCTATACAAATTAGGAAAATAATAAGATCACTGTATAGAGAACTATTTCACTTTCTACAATATGCAGAGTTCTTTATCGATTTTAACCTCACCTCATTTTTATGGGGCCAGTACATCAATATATACATAAGTATCAAAAGTATTTTGCTCTTGGCGTAAATTCAAATAGTGAAAATGATTTTTGACAATCAAAATCGCAAATAATTTAGTATGTTGAAAATATTTCAGTATGCTAAAAATATTACTGTATATCAAAAATATTGTAGATCTACTGTGATTTCCTGTGATAATTAACCAATAATTTTTAAAATTTACAAGAATCTTATAAGTTGATAAATATATGCTAAAGAATTTATTAGAGAATAGATAGATATGTGTAAAGTGAATAAATGCTATATTTATTACCAAGAAACCTAACTTATTCAAGATATAAACCAAAACTTTAATTTACTATACAAAACTAATATTAACCCAGATCTTCTATTATTAAAAAGCTTGTACTATACCTATTCAAATTAAATAGTTTGTAATAATAGTTAATAAAATCAATTTTGGACGAAAACGTTTCTAGTTATAATATAATTTGTTTTTAAGTGAAGTTTTTCAGATTTCCAATCCTTTCTCGATTATTTTGTATTGTGAATATTCACACACTTGTGAAAATAACAGTAAAAAAAAAAAAATTATAATTTTTATTAATGAAATATTATAAAAAGCATTTTAAAAGGTATAAATAAGTTACTTGGCAATAGATTTACATTAGCAAATTATCAAATTTCATATTGGCCCTTGCTTGTCTTTTGTGTTTATTTATTTTCTTTTAGATTATTTCTGAATTTTACATTTTACGATCCTAATAACAACTGCTATAAATCATTTTAACAGCCTATAATATTTTTATAGTCAATAATAATTTTGACAGGCAAAAATAATTTTACAATATGTTATTTTGGAGTGCAAGAGCGAAAATATTAAAAACATTTTGTCATGCCATCTGCAGTAAATCATCTATAATTTTGACACACACATATACATCAATAAGATATTATGAAATGACCAGAAATTGGGCTAGAGTAGAAATTACTATTGTATGTTACCTAAAATATATTATGATTCTATCTGGATAATCTGTTAATCTAATAATGTTTGAACTAAGATTTTCTTGATAGGATTAATCTCTAATCATGTTATTGATATATTCTAAATACATAAACCCTATAATTTAAGGCTGTGGTTAAAATTTTTAAAGATCTCTGCTTAAACAATATCGTATATTATAATTATTGTCGAAAATTTTTTTTTTTTGAATTGCCAGTACATCTAAAGTAAATCTGCAATAGGATAAATATCTAACTAAAAACCGCAAAAAAATATTAAATTTGTATAGATTTGAACAAAATGTTTAATATATACATACTTACAATTACAATAATAATTATAAATTTAACCTTTTTGACTTTTGTATTACAAACTGGTGTCAAGAAACATGTATATTTTGATTAAAAAATAAGAATTTCGCAGTGATAAAGTTGAAATTAACCAAGTAGATACAGAAATTTCAGCTTCATTTATCAATACCATAATTAACAATGTTTTAAAAAAAATATTTTATTAAATCAAATTAAAAAAACAAAACTCACTAAAAAGCATTTTTTTTACTATATTATATATATGTACAAGATGTTATAGATTGGTAGTCATTTAGTGCGATAATAGTTAACTGCTATATAGCTACACTGAATAGATTTTAGTGATAACATGCATATTACACTATATAATTTTATACTTAAATATCTAAAGTCTAATAATGTACAATATATCATAGCAAGATTTACTAATTTTTCTCTCTAGTTTCTATTGGACAAAGAAAAATCCTGCCTTTCAATCAAATAATATAAGTATTGTTGAAACAGTGCAAAGGTCTATTAAAAAATATATTATTATAAACTTTTACAAGGAATTTTTTTTGTTAAAAAAACTTCAAAAACTTCGATTTTTTTACCTGATCTTATAATTTGATTGGTAGACGAAGAGTGGTATAGTCCACTTTGTTCAATCAGAGACAGTATTTACAAATGTTCAATCAGAACTGGTAGGAAACATTAGGGATTTTATTACAGCACCTTATTATTAATTATTAATATATAATAATAAGACAATGATTCTTTGAGTTATAAAAGATTTCTATTTCTATATAGTTTTCCTAATAATTTGCAGTTTGTATTAATACTGTCAGTATGTAAAGTATATAAAAACGCAAGGCAGTGTTGTCTATAAACAGAAGCATGAACAAAGAATAGAATATTTTATACAAAAAGCTATGGACATTGAAAATGTACAACACTAACGCAAGCCCGATCAAATAAACTAGTGAACGATCATGAGAAAGAAACTATGCAAGTAGAAAGAAAGACCAATTTTTTTTATTAAAAATTACAGAACTAAAGTGGTCTACTGGCAGTTTTTGTTTGTAATATCGACTTTGATATGAAAAAAAATAAGGATAATGGCAAATAAGCAAGAATATTAACTAAATTGAAGTAGAAAGAATGGAATCTATAGTATATACTAAATCGAAGAGTAACAATTATATGAATATAGTTGCTGTTCAAATTAATATATTATTGTCTTGTAAATAATATGTGTATAAAATGTGTGAAAATCAAAGATCATGGGTTTAATAATTTACCAGATTTACTTGTATATGAGTCGACTTAGAGCAAAGCAAGCTCAAGATAATGAAAGATTAAAGTAGCTAATTGGTGTAGGGATAGTAAAAAAAAAAAACTTTGTAATACGAAATTCTGTAATATTTTACTATACCTTAGGATCAAATGAACATTATCACTGTAATATCAATATACAAATAAGACTAAAAAATAAATATTTTATATTGAATCAGATATTAAAGATGAAAAGAAATCTAACTCTTGGGTCATTTGAGGATATAGTTACATATCCGTTAGAACCTCTTAAAAGATACAAACATTTAAGTTGAATATAATTGGAACTTAAGAAGAAATATAAGGTTAGTGAAAAAATCCTGATCACGTGATATTTGTGTATAATATAGATTATCATTAAATATCATTTTATTTTTGCAATTTTTTGTCAAAATTTCAGATTATGACAACAAGCGAAACGAATAAAGAAAGTTCAAGAAAAAGACATAGGTTCTTTTTAAAAAATGAAGAAGAATTTAGTTCAGAAGTTGAAGACACTCAAACAACAGCAACAGCTATTAGTGAGGTAACAGATACCTCCAATAAACAAACCTCGATAGCTGTACACTTACCAAGTACACCTTGAAATAAGAATAAGCCTCATCAATTTTCCAAGATATGGGATTACTTTATCAAAAAAACTGAAAAAAATAATGGCCACTATGAGGCTACTTGTAGTAATTGCAGAAAAAAATAGTCGCAAAGAAAACTAGTACAATTGGAAGTATATTTATCAAATGACTATGTTAGTTGTCCAGATGATATATCCCGTTATTGGAAAGAAAAGATTGCCAAAAAAGATCCAAATTATACTCAAAGGCTAAAAAAAAACTGTACACTACCAAACTCTATGCCACAAACAACAATGGCCTTTCATTATGCATCAGACCGTTTACTGTCAAAGGCTATGACTAACCGGCTTGATCAAAAAATAATCAAAGTATAGATAATAGCAAGAATCTCTTTTGATGTTATTAACAATCCATTTATTCAGGATATGTTCAAAGAATTTAAGCCTGCCTATAACTACCTTCGAGAACAACTTTATCAAACCAATTGTTTGATAAAGAATTAGCATGAGTAAATAAAGCAATTAATGATAATTTAAATAAAGCAGAACTTTTAATTTTAGATTAGTATTATTAAATGTTATTTATATTTCATATTAAAAGTTCACATTTTTTACAAATGACTATTTCAAGTAAAGATAATCTACAAATAGCAATGCATATAACACATATGTATAACATTTTTATTTAAAGTTTTATTTCATTATTAAAAATTTTAATAAATATTTTTTGAAAAATATAAAAATATGA